GACAAGTGGCAAAAAATTAAAAAAAAAAAAAAAAAAAAAAGTACCCAGACACAGTCTGGAGTCTGAGGGCAGAGACCAGGCAGAGACCAGCAAGGCCAGGACAAAGCAGAGACCTGGGGAGGGGCCATTGATGCTACTCTTTCTTTTTTTTGAAGAGTTTTTTTGCTATAGGGTGCATGTGCTCGCCAGACAAACAGAGACAGACAGACAGACAGAAAGCGAGAAATGGGACCAGCAGTTAGCGTAATGGCTATGTCGCTGGACTCCCACGTAGTCGACCGTGGTTCGCATCTTACAAGAAATCACCCCTCAGCGGGGATGGTCACGCTGCAATCCCTTCTCCTCCGTTCTCCTCTCGGGATCTCGGGCACGCATGCACACGCGCCCAGCGTGAGTTTTAAGCCACCGGGTCCGGGACTCAAACCACAGTCGACTACATGGGAGTCCAGCGACATAGCCATTACGCTAACTGCTGGTCCCAGTGATGCTACTCTTCAGGGAAAGGGAGGCAAGGTGTGCAGAGTAACAGTGAGGCAGACCAGAAGGAGCTGGAAAACTAGGGGGGAGATAGGGCCCCAACCTGGGGAAGAGAAGCTAGGCCAGGGAGGGGGTGGGGAGAGATAGAGGCCAGGGAAGAAAGGGGAATAAGAGTTAGGGCTGAGGCCCAGGGCAGAGCACTGAGAAAGGAGACAGGGGAGGATGGCCAGGCCCAAGGAGAGACACAGGCCTGCAGGGTGAGCTCAGACAAGCAGAAGGCCCAGAGCACAGGTCCCTGTCATCCCAGGACACAGTGTCTTTTTAACACATCCAACGAAGGAGCCAATGTTGTCCCTGCACCACTCAAAATCACTTTGGTCATCTTCCTGGGCGAAGAGCCCCTCTGTGGAGAACACTCACTCAGTAGGCCACTGCCTGAGCCCTAGAAGCAGCCAGCTGATCACGTCTGCTCCTCTCCAGAAGTCAGGCAGGGCCATGCAGCTCCCACCGTGCACCCCCAAGAGGAACAGAGCTGCTCTGCTAAATCCCCACCCAACTTTGAAGGGATCTGTCTCAGTAACTTGGAAAACCACCGAGACCAAAAGTACGAATGTGTGCCCAAGCCTCACCTTGTGTAATGAGTATCCGGACTCAAAGATAATAGGTGGAAGCAGCAGGAGGAAAAACATATTTGGACGAAACATTTCTTCTTCCTGTAAACAAAAAATGGGTATTTTAGAAGGCATAGAATTTGTGTAATTAAGAAATAAGTTCATCAGTGAAGAGCTTTCTCTCAGGGCTGGTCCAGTGGGAATGTCTAAATGACTGCCTGATAGTAAAGTCAAGCAGGGGGAACAAAAACACAGAGAAGTTAAACTGTACTGTAAAATGTAGGACAAGTCATTTTTTTTTTTTTGAGAGTTTTTGTTTTGCTATAGGGTGCATGTGCTCACCAGAAAGACAGACAGAGAGAGAGAAAGACAGAAAGCAAGAAATCACCCCTCATTGCCACGCCGCAATCCCTTCTCCTCCATTCTCCTCTTAGGATCTTGGGCACGCATGCACAGATGTCCAGCGTGAATTTAAGCCACTGGGTCCAGGACTCAAACCGCGTTCAGCTACATGGGAGTCCAGCGACATAGCCATTACACTAACTGCTGGTCCCTAAATGCTTTGTTTTGTTTGAGAGGTCTTTTTTTGCTAGAACAAGTAATTTTTAAGTGACAGCCAAAGAAAGAAGACAATGAACTGCTTCCAAACACACAATATACTTTCTATTCTTCAGGGAGGAAAAAAATTATTTTTAATATAGAAAATTTCAATTTAGATTGAACACTTTAAAAAACAAATCTATAGGGACCAGCAGATTGCATAATGGTTACATCACTGGACTTCCACATAGTCAACCGTGGTCCTGGACCTGGCTGCTTAAAACTCACACTGGGCACGTGTGCAAGCATGCCCAAAATTCTGAGAGGAGACTGGAGGAGAAGGGATTGTGGCGTGGCCATCCCCCCGAGGGGGCGGGGGGGGGGGGTTTCTCACTTTCTGTCTCTCTGTGTCTCTCCAGTGAGCAGACATGCCCTATAGCAAAAATCTCTCTTAAAAATCAGGGCGAATAGGTGGCATAATGGTTAGGGGTGCTGGACTCCTACATGGTCGACCATAGTTCGAGTTCTGGACCTGGCAGCTTGCTTTCTCACTTTCCCTCTCTCTTTCTCTCACTCTGTCCCTCTCTGGTCAAATTAAAATAAGCAAATGAATAAATAAAGCTAAATAAAATAATTCTTTTTTAATCTTTATTTATTTAATAAAATAATTCTTTAAAAAAAAATATAGGGACCAGCAGGTGGTGTGGTGGTTAAGGGCACTGAACTCCCACATGGTCAACCACAGTTTGAGTCCCTGGTAACTTGCTTTCTCACTTTCCCTCTCTCTTTCTCTCACTCTGTCCCTCTCTGGTCAAATTTAAAAAATAGAAAAATAATATATAAAATATAAATATATAAATATAAAATAAATAAAATT